CCAGATTGAAAGTAAATTAAGATCGAAGTGAAAAGATCATCGCAATTTCTTAAACATTTTTATAGCTTCACCAATTCAAATTATCATTTCACAAATCTCAAGGCAAGGAGAAAGATAGCGAAAACTACTCAGATCTCATGGGGAAAACACAAAAAAACTCGGAATTCATATATAAAATCAAAGTCATACAAACTACAACAAGTAAATAACTTATCTCTAATTTCTCCCCAAGAACACTCCTCAGAGTTCCTCTGAATCTCTTCCTTTCTTTACAACACACAGAATTCCTCTTCGAAGTAGCAAGAAGGAAAAAATCTCTCACTTTCCCAAGGAGGAAAAACCCTCTCACTTTCCCTCCACTCTTACAATCTCTTAAAGAATTCCTCACAATTGTTATACACTAATGGTAACCTCCAAGGCCTCTAGCACACTTTAATTTTTGGCCAAAATGTTCGTTTAAAGTTGTGGATGAGCTTTCCAAAGAGTTGCCTAAGCATCCCTTCAAAATTTGGCCTTATCCAAAGCTCGAGTAGGCATAACCGTCGATCTCGCCGTCGGTGGGGTCGATGGCACCGTCGGCGGGCTTCTGGAGAATTTTGTCCTGTAGTCTCGTGAAAAACTCGCCGTCGGCGGGGTCGAGGGCCCCGTCGGCGACTTAGTTCAATTCTCCATATTTTGGTCTTTTTTGCTCCAAATTCTCTTCTTTTTGTATCTTTTTGCTTCAATGACCCTAATTCATCATTCATGCAATAAAACATCAAAAATACCTTTCTTTAAAGTACAATATCATCAAAAACAGTATAAAATAGGTATGAAATCTCAACATATTTTCCTGTGGTCACAAATTCTTTGACAAAAGGGTTGCCACCGAAGACATTTAACGAACATGTCATGAGAATGAGCATTGTCAAAACCCTTTATTTATTTTATGCTCTTTGTACTTTGACACTTTGACACTTTGAGCTCAATTTTTCTTGTTTTTGATGTTTATAAATCTTATTTTATCGTTAATGTACACTTTATGTTGTCTAATGTTCAACAAGATTTGTCTTTTAATAGACATTATGGGACCATGATGTTAATCCTCATTTGCTAAGTATATAATTGATATTGTGATACATGGAAGAGACTGTGTCGATAAATTGATGCAAAACTGCCATGAATCATATTAATTTCATACTTATTAAATAATTTATGATTTAATCAACACAAAGAATGATTTATCTTACATTTTGTGCAATATGTTATGCATTATTAAAATTAAGTGAGCCAAGCAGGTGAATGTTATATTTTTTTATTTATGGCTCACATTTATTTTAATAACTTATGAGATTTATTTTGATAACTTAAGTTATTTATTTAACTCATAACATGTCATAAATTATGAAAACTTATGATATTTATTTTGATACTTAAGTTATTTTTTTTTAACTCATAACTTATGTTATAACTTATGAGAACTTATGATATTTATTTTGATAACTTAAGTTATTAATTTTCTTAACTCATAACTTATGTCATAGTTTATGATAACTTATGATATTTATTTTATAACTCATGCAATCTCTTAAATGAATAAGAGTTACTAACTTATGTCATTGATTTTATACTAACTTATGTCATTGATTTTAATAATAATAAAATCAATTAATTTATTAAATTATCATTAATTATATTGGTTTGTAACCCCTTGATGGATGATGATTAAATAGAACCTGATTCAGAGAATGGGTCGTATCTCTTCCTAACACACCCCGTACATTTCCCTCCATCAAAAAATACAGAAAGTTTCAAAGAATTAGAGAGAGAAACTCCATCTCTTCAAAATCAAATTTCTTCAAGATAAAATTTTATCATCATGAATGCAAGTACGTGTTACTTTATTATGGAAATGTAAAAATCATGAATTTAAAAATCTTGGCTATCATGTATTTTTAGAATTTGTGTCATAAAGTTCAAACATGATTTTCTAACAAGGTAAACATTAATGAAGTAATGCTTTGTTTATTATTCTTGAAATTATCTCCTTATTTATTGGGAAGAGAGCACAATATTGTGATATTACATTTTCACGAATGTTTTATGCATTCTTTGTATTTTTCAAATATGAACCTATCACATGGCCACTATCTAGCTCGTTTGACTAAGCTAATTTGGCTTTGACTCAACATGATTATTTTGGTCAGCTAGACTTAGTCGATGTCCCCTATTGGCTGAGTTTGGTGGGCTTCGGGTTGGCATGATTGGTTCAATCGGCTAAGTCAATCTGACCATTAACCTTAGATAATAGATGACGAAGCTTCTAAACCTTTATGATATAATTGGAGTTGCCGAGCTAGGTCCTCCATCGAGTTGACTTTTGTATGTCAGTTGGCTTGAATATCTCTGTCTCATTTCTAAACGAATGCTTCAGATTTAGTTAATTCAGTCGTCTTCGTGACAGTTGACTTTTATCTCGCTTAGCTCGTACGACTACATCCGATCGAATAAGTGGGCCTTCTGGTCTTTCGTTGGTGGACATTCCTTTGGTATACTCATTTCCTTATAGACAATTAAATCTCCTTAGAATGAGCACTCACTCATTTTCAATGTACACCTATGCATTTTCAATTCTCACTTATTTATTCAAATAACACTACTAACAAAATTCAGAAAGATATAATTTGATTTAATTTTGAATTTAGTTTTACTCATTTAAATTAAATTCAAATTGACTCTACACCTGATAAAAGAAATATCTAAACAAAATATATTATATAATAGTTATGTTTGTTTCCTTATTTAATTAAAATTAATTTCAAGTCAACTCAATAATAAATTTCAACTCAATAATTATTGTAAATAAAATCGATTCAATAGAATTTTATTTTTATAAAATTAAAGCAAAACATTATTTTTAATTTTAAATCCATTTTTCGCATAAATGCCTCGAATTTGACTCGCTGGCGGCGTTCGATTCGTTGGAGTAAAGGTTTCGTCCTCCCCTCACGTCTACTTCACTACCTTTGTTCGGTGTTTTTGTCCTGTTTAGGGTTTGGTCTTTCTCCATTTGGCGGCGAAATGGCTACGTCGAAGACTTCAATGAGGAAGCCGGTGTTCGTGAAGGTGGATCAGTTGAAGCCGGGAACGAGTGGGCACACGCTTACGGTGAAGGTGCTTGAGTCGAAGACTGTGCTTCAGAAGGGCCGAGCGGCATCGGCGCACCTCCGGCAGACGAAGATTGCCGAATGCCTTGTCGGGGACGAGACGGGAACGATCGTATTCACAGCCCGAAACGAGCAGGGTTCGCTTCTCTTACCTCTATTGATTTTGTTGTGAATTGTTGAATTCGATCAAATTCCTGCTAGATCTGCTCTTTTCTTCAGTGGCGGGACTTTTTTTTTCATGAATGAAAGATGAGGATGTGTAGATGCTTAATGGTCATTTTAGATTTCTCGGGGGCTTTGTAAATTTAAATGGCATTATTTGCTCAACTGCAATTTTTTGAGATATCCACAGATTGGGCGTTTCTTTAGTGGAGGGCGAATTCTAGTATTTTTGCATCACATAGTAGATAACATTCGTCAATTTTAATGGAATGATCCAAAAGTTTCTAATACTTTTTAATGCGTATAGTTAATTATCTCTTAATTTTTCTTTCCCTTCAATCTATCCCGCACACATGCGCAGACTCCATCATACGCCAAGGTCAGCGGGTTCATCAGGTTGGAGCCATTCAGGCGTAGAACCATAGGATCCCCTGCCAGGACCACGCCACGCCACGCCAGGATGGCCATTTTTTTTATTGGGTTGACTTAGATCTTTGATTGACTTAAGGGTACTTAGTTTGATTTTAATAAAACCTTGGTTTATTTTCTAGTTATACAAAACAAAACCCTAGTAAATACTAAAATCTCGAGAATTTCATTGGGATTTGGAACAATCTTAGCGGATTAACAGGTATCAATGGAATATTGGTAAATTAATCGGGTTAATGCAACCCCAGTAATTTGCCAAGGCCTTAATAAAATTACTCAGAATTGACGCTACTTTGGCAAACTTTCCAATATTTTGTTCTGTCCGGGTAATCTTTTAAGTTTTGAAAGTCATTAGAGCATTTCATTGCCCTTTTATTTAGAGTAGAAATGTTAAGGCCTCTTAGTGAAAGTTGAAAAGCACCTCTATTCTTTAGAAATAGGCCATACTAACATCATTACACTAATTTTTTGATACATTAACACATTTTTAAGGGGAAAAAAGAACATCCTAGGCTATACAAGGTTAGTAATCGCTTCATTCATTAATGCCTTGTCTTTATGCTTAGTTTGTCAGATATCAGGTGAGTGGAATTTGGAACATGCATTTTCAGTTTACCTTGCCTGCTCAAAATTTGCTCAAAATATGTTTCATGACACCAACTAAAAGTCAAGAAAGATAAATTTTTAATATTCATTAAGAACTTGAAATGTAGATGTATCTTTGCTTTTTCATTTTTGCTTATTGCATACATAATATATTATTAACAAAATTTACTAAAATATTTCTTGAATATTGGCAATGAATAAATCCTAGTTATTCTTTGAAATAGGTTTAGTATTGTACTGCATGCATCATATAAGATGGAAAGAATGTGGTGTCATCATTATGTTCTAGTAATATATTGAAAGTGCATTTTTTGATGAGAATGATGATTTAAGGAGCAATTCATCTAAGGGGATGAAAAATGGACGTAAGGGATGCTAATGCGTTTGATTTATTGTGGCAATGGTTCAATTGAGAGTGACTGTAGGGGTCTTTGGGTGTTGTGTGGGCAATTCGAGTCTCAGTGTTGCATTTTGCATGACACTAACCATCATATGGAACATGTGTTGCTATTTTAAGAAGCAACTCAAGTATTGTCAAAATACTTATGGACGTGGACCTTTGTTTTGCATGATAAGTTTCTTGGATTTTATCATATTAATATTGCTTATTTTTGAGGAAAAACACGTCCCGAGAACAATGACAATCATAGAATAAGATCAACAATAAGCCTTTATCATACTAGGTGGGGTCGGCTACATGTATTCGTTTTCTTCATTATGTCTTTTTTAGTGTCATATTTTCATTTAGTTCAAAGAGATTAAGATTATTTTTTATACAAAATGCCTAAGTCTTTTTAAGTCTACATCTGTCTTTCTTAGCATAATTGGAATTTAAAACATCTACTCTTCTAATCGGACAATAAGTTGGTCGACATTTAATGTGACCAAACCATCTAAGATGATTATCTCTAATCTTGTCTGCCACTAGAGCTACACCAACCCTTTCACGGATAGATTAGTTTCACATTTGGCTCTAAGTGTAAAGCCACTCATCCATCTAAACATTCTCTTCTCAACAAAACTTAACTTCGTTTTATACTTCTTTTTTAAAGGCCAAAATTCTGCGCCATAAGCATTGCAGGGCTCACCACCATCTTATAAAATTTCCCATTAAGTCTAAGCGACACTTTTCTATCACACAATAGGCCTGATGCATTCCTCCACTTCAACCAACCAACTTGAATTTTACTAATAACATTCCCATCTATATCACCATCACTTTGAAGAATAGACTCGAAATATCTAAAACGTTCACTCCTTTTAATGATTTGATCACCCATAGTTGCAACTTTGCCACTAGAATTACTACAGCTAAAATGACATTCCTTCTATTCAGTTTTAGTTCTACTCAAATGAAGTCTTTAGACTCTAATGTAAAGCTCCATAATTCAAGTTTTTTCTGAACGCTTTCTCTAGTCTTATCCACAAAAAGGTTATCATCAACAAAAAACATACACCAAAGCACATCATCCTGCAAATGTCCAGTAAGAGCATCCATAACTAAAACATGAAGAAATGGGCTTAAAACCGATCCCTGATGTAATTCAACTAGAGTAGGAAAATACTTGGTCAATCCTCCTTATGTTCTTACACAAGTAACAACTCTAGAATACATTTCTTTAATGGCTGAATATAAATCATATCAACTCCTTTCTTTTCTAGAACTCTCTAAAGAACTTCTCTTGGAATATTATTGTAAGCTTTTTCTAAATCAATAAAAATCATATGTTGAGCCTCCTTGCTCTCTCTGTCCTTCTCCATCAAATCTCTCAATAAATGTATAATTTCCATAATAGACTTGCCTGACATAAATCCAAATTGATTATCAGAAATCTTTGTATCACATTTTAACATATGTTCAATTGCCCTCTCTCATAATTTTAAAGTATATCACATTAACGTAATTACTCTATAATTTGCACACTCTTGTGCATCCCTCTTATTCTTAAAAAGTGAAACCAAAATACTCTTTCTCAACTCCTCAGGTATCTTTGTAGTTTTTACAATAATATTAAAGAGTTTAGTAAGTTGAGAAACATTGAAAGCTCGTAGATATTTTCACACTTCAACTAGGATATCATTAGGTCTTACCTATTTTCCACCCTTAGTTTTCCTTAAATCCTCCTCAACTTTTTTTTTACTAATGTAACTATAAAAATAAAAAGTTTTGTTATTATTAACATCATTATGGTCGATTGTATTTTTCAGAAACATCATTGAATAGTTTATCAAAATAACTCACCTACCTATGTTGAATATCTTACTCTAAGAAAAACGTTTTTTGATTTTCATCTTTAATACACTTTACGTGAATTAAATTTTTACTTTTTCTTTTTTCTTTTTTTAACTAGTTTATTATATATATATTTCACCATTTTTAGTATCTAATCTATTATAATGATCACTGAAAGTATAATTTTTAGCGTCACAAATTATTCTCTTAGATTCCCTATGGTTCACCTTGTATTTTTTCCAGTTCTCCAAGCTTTTATATTTAAATCAATTTTTATAACACAACTTTTTATATTTTATCTTTTCTTGCATATTATTATTCTACCACTATTTATTTTTATTTATAAAAATTTTTCCTTTCAATTTTCTATTATATCTTTTGCCACTTGTTTAATAATACTTGTTATTTTATTCCACAGAATTAATTTCTTCATGAACATCCCAAATATTGAAATGCTGAAGTTTACTTATTAAAATAATTTTATTTGTTTTTTAGGTGGCTTCATCTAATTTTATGATAATATTTTATTATATTCTTGATCTTAGAACTCTTCATCTTAAAATCCAGAATTAATAATCGATGTTGAGTATTTAAATTTTACTTAGAAAGACCTTATAATTTTTACATTCTCGACGATCTTATTTTCTCTAAAGAAAATAATCAATTGGTTTTTTATTTAATTTATTCTTATAAGTAATAATAAGTTCATCTATTTTCTTAAATAAAATATTAGCAATAACAAAATCACAAGCTAAAGCAAAATCTACTATGGCTTTTTCTTCTTTATTAATCACTCCAAAACCGTGGCCACCATGAACATTTCTAAAATCTTCTGTTACTCTAACAACGTTTTCATTTTAATCTCCTCCAATAAAAATTCTTTCGTTAAAATATATCATTTGTATTAATACTTCTAGGTCATTTCAAAATTTTTCTTTTGAACATATATCTGAACCCACTTAAAGAGCATAAACACTTATAACATTAAAAATTTTAGTATCAACAATAATATTTATGCCTATAATTTTATCTCCAATTTTATTAATTTTTACAGCATTGTCTTTCTAACTCTTATCTATAATTACACCTATACCATTTTTAGTGTGACTCCTACATTAATACCAAAGTTTAAAATCTAAGCATCACTCTCATTAATTTTTTTTCCAACTCATTTAGTTTCTTGAATGCAATGGATATTTTTCTTTCTATGAACTTTAATATTTACTAATTTTATTAATTTATCTATGATAGTACCTATATTCCAAAAGTCTATCATAATATTAATTTCATGGACTAACTTTTTTACCCACATACATCCATAATGTGGAAACCTTTGCTTATTTGATACTACACCCTGACGCCGGCGTAGTGACCCTGTCACACTTTTCCACTGTATTCAGGCCAGACAACACATTGCATTCAGGGAACGCCCTAAACAATGACAATCATAGAATATTAAAAATAATATATAAGGAGAACATCAAGAATAAAATATAGGAGAGTTAATAATCTGAAATCTCTTCAACTAAGCAAGGTATAAATCAATTATGTAAATAAATCATAAATATTTTAGATTTTTTCTTTTTCTTCTATGAATTTTTTTTAAAATTTTTTTATCAACTCTACAAAAAAGTTAAGAGAACTTGTTAGCGCGTTTTTGTATATTTTTGGGGTGAACTTTAATCTTTTTTGAAATATTTCTTAAAA